AACGGATAAATGGAAAGATAAAATACTCGGAGAAGTCAACACGACACTCCTTACCTCCCTCCTCCTCCTCCTCCTCCTCCTCCTCCCTTCCCTTTCCCTTCCCTCTTCCCCTCCTCCTCCTTCCCTTCCCTTCCTCTTCCCTCCTCATTCCCTTCCTCCTGACACCCCTATCATTGCCTTCCCTCTGGCACTACTCCTGGCACTCTTCCATACTGGTATTTCTTCTTAAACATCCTTCCTTTGCCACTACATTATCCTAACACCCTCCCCTGTCTCCCCACCTCCCTGACACTCTCTCTCTCTTCCCTGGCAACCTCCTCTCCCTCCTGACACCTTTCCTTTCCTCTTTGGCAACCTCAACTCCACCTGGTCCCATCCCCTGCACCTGGCAACCCTCCTCCTCCTGGCAACTCTCCCTCCCTCCTGGCACCCTCCCTCTCTCCCTGGCATCCTCCCTCCCTCCTGGCAACCCTCCCTCCTGGCAACCTCCCTCTCCTGGCAACCTCCTCCCTCCTGGCAACCCTCCCTCTCCTGGCAACCCTCCTCTCTCCTGGCAACCCTCCCTCTCTCCTGGCAACCCTCCCTCTCTCCTGGCAATCCCTCCCTCCCTCCTGGCACCCTCCCTCCCCCTGGCAACTCTCCTCCCTCCTGGCAACCCTCCCTCCCTCCTGGCAACTCCCTCCCTCCTCCTGGCACCCTCCCTCCTGGCACCCCTCCCTCCCCCTGGCAACTCTCCCTCCCTCCTGGCACTCTCCCTCCCTCCTGGCAACCCTCCCCTCTCCCGGCAACCTCCCTCCCTCCTGGCACCCTCCCTCCTGGCAACTCTCCCTCCCTCCTGGCACCCCTCTCCCTCCCTCCTGGCAACCCTCCCTCCCTCCTGGTCAACTCCCTCCCTCCTGGCAACTCTCCCTCCCTCCTGGCACCCTCCCTCCCCTGGCAACTCTCCCTCCCTCCTGCACCCTCCCTCCCTCCTGGCAACCCTCCCTCTCTCCTCGGCAACCCTCCCTCCCTCCTGGCACCCTCCCTCCCCCATGGCAACTCTCCCTTCCTGGCACCCTCCCTCCCTCCTGGCAACCCTCCCTCCCTCCCTGGCAACTCTTCCTCCCTCCTGCAACTCTCCCTCCCGGCAACTCTCCCTCCCTCCTGGCAACTCTCCCTCCCCCTCCTGGCAACCCTCCCTCCCTCCTGGCAACCCTCCCTCCCTCCCCGGCAACCCTCCCTCCCTCCTGGCAACTTCCTCCCTCCTGGCAACCCTCGTCTCCCTCCTGGCACCCCTCCCCTCTCCTGGCAACCTCGTCTCCTCCTGGCACCCTCCTCCTCCTGGCAACCCCTCCCTCCCTCCTGGCAACTCTCCCTCCCTCCTGGCAACCCTCGTCTCCTCCTGGCACCCCCCTCCCTCCTGGCAACCCTCGTCTCCCTCCTGGCACCTCCTCCCTCCCTCCTGGCAACCCTCGTCTCCTCCTGGCACCCTCCCTCTCTCCTGGCAACCCTCCCTCTCCTGGCAACCCTTCCCTCCCTCCTGGCACCCTCCTCCCTCCTGGCACCCTCCTCCTCCTGGCACCCCTCCTGGCACCCTCCCCCACAGTGCCACGGGTGTGAGAGGCGTGTAATGGGCGTCCTGTTAATTTGGTGTTATTGCTGTACATTTGAGTCCTGGTCACCGAGAGGGATATTTTATTATGAACTGATGTACACACACACACACACACACACACACACACACACACACACACACACACACACACACACACACACACACACACACACACTTCCATTTCTACACATGTCACAAACACACAAACACATAATTTGTGGAGTAAACATTCATTATTATTATTATTATTATTATTATTATTATTATTATTATAGTTCAGTCAGCCGATATAGAAGGCGTGGCAACTGGAGTCCTGTTAATGGCCACACTGATACGTCCATGGCCACACTGATACGTTCATGGGCTATCACATTCGTCCAAAGCCACACTAACACGTTCATGATCACACTGACACGTCCATGGCCACACTGATACGTTCATGGGCTATCACATTCGTCCAAAGCCACTCTGACACGTTCTTGGCCACACTGACACGTTCATGGCCACATTAACACGTTCTTGCCACACTCACACGTTCACAAGACAGGTGCGGCATGAACGGCGTGGACCAGCATGGCCAGCATAAGAGGCCTGGCCATACAGCTGGTCCATCAGTCATCGATCCTTCTCAAATTACCCGCCGCACCTCTGAATACATTATACATATGCAAATACCTACAGTGTCTAAGGGTGGGTCATACACGGTGGGTAGGGTGGGTGGTAGGGGTGGGTTAGGGTGAATAGGGGTTGCTAGTGATGGAAGAGATGGTGGTGGTGGTGGTGGTGGTGGTAAGGGTAAGGTGGTGGTGATGGTGGTTATAGTAGTAAAGGGTGATAATAGTGGTGGTAGTGGTGGTGGTGGTGATCTCTCTCTCTCTCTCTCTCTCTCTCTCTCTCTCTCTCTCTCTCTCCACTAACAGGGTGAACTAAACCACAACCTTCCTTTATAAAGAACCTCCTCAGGCTTTTCCATTCTCCCCTCCTCTCTCTCCCTCTCTCTCTGTCTTCCTTTCTCTCTCCTCTCCTCTTCGCTATTCACCGCTGCCTTAGGTAAACCCTTGGCCTTAACAAGAGGGAGGGGAGGGAGGAGGAGGGAGGGAGGGAGGAGGAGGGAGGGAAGGAGGGATTCAGTATAGGAGGTAGGCATTTAGTTAGAAAGGAGAGGGAGGAAGGGAGAGAGAAGGAAGAAGAGGAGGAGGGAGAAGGTAGAAGAGGAGAAGGATGTCCCTTCCTACAGCAAGACTATTATTATGATCACACACACACACACCCACACACACACACACACACACACACACACACACACACACACACACACAAAACTGTATTATTGTCATTATTATTATTATCAGAAATAAAACACATACAACTAAACGGAGACAATTTATATAAACGGTATATCTGAATAAAAAATAATAAAATTCCACTTTTCTCTTTACTTCACAAAATTCTCGGCAAATAAATATGCAGATTGTAGCCATCGTCACAACAGTCTCTCTCTCTCTCGGAGGAAAAAATACCAAACTAGAGAAAAGGCTTCATAAAAGTTACTCTTAGTTTGTTTTTACATAATGTTCACTGTCGAAAGTTTTTAAGAGACAAAGTTTTCATCATCAAGGGTAACCGACCTCTCCTCCCTCCCTCCCTCCCACCTCATCCCCTGCCTCTCCCCCTGTCCTTTCCAGTTCGTTTCTTAGGTTCCAGTCATCCTTCCTCCCTCCTCCCTCCCTCCCTCCAGCTCCTCCTTCCTTCTATTCTAATCCTCCATCTTTCCCTCTATCATCCTCCCACCAAATCCCTTCACCACCTTCCCTTCTCACCGAACACCCTCCCCTTCACCAAACACCCTCCCAACTACCGAACACCCTCCCACCTCACCGAACACCCTCCCCACCACCAAACACCCTCCCAACCACCAAACACCCCCCATCAACCCAGTTCATCCCTGTAGTTGAAATATCTTAGTTAAATACTCGAGGGCCTCACTTTTTCCTCACGTAATGGAAAGTCAATGACCAGCGGAAAAAAACAAACAGTGACGTAATCAAGCTGGTCATATTTAATCAATTTGATGGACACCGTGACTCTACCGGTCCTCTGTGTGTGTGAGAGAGAGAGAGAGAGCCACCCTTACCTTGCTCTACATTAATATACACACACCTGGCGTATATTACCTACAAGTTATAACCGCGTGAAAAATACCAATGCAAATTCCTCACCGAAAAAATATAAGTCCCTCCTCCTCTCTTCCACCCTTAAATTTACCCTCCCTGTCTCCCTTAAAACTGGCCTTCGGGTGGATGCTATTCTACCTGTTTTCTCCTAACCTCATCCCCCTTTCCCCTTCTCCCCATCCCCTTTCCCTCCTACCCCATTTCCTTCCCTCCCTTCTCCCTTCCCTCCACCCCCCCATCTCTCACCCCAGCTTTGGTCACTGTGCTAACAAATCTTTGCAATATTCATATCGCAGTAAGAGACACTTCATTCACTTGTAAATTGAGGAATTAAAGTGGCGAGACAGATTCACTCTGCCTCATTGCAATTCAAATCACCCGGGTTTTCACCCTCCCTCCCCTCTTAGCTGTTGTTGCCACTTCCTATTGCAGGCCCATGGTTCTGCTCCTACTGGAGGAGAAGGGTGGGGAGAGATAAGAGATAAGAGGGAAGGTGGAACAGGATGGAAGAGTGTAGAGAGAGATAGGAGGATATTGGAGGTTAAGTAGGAAGATGAGGGAGGAGAGGATTTTTTTGTCCAGTTTTGTCCGCTACCTTTCCATATGTTCCTCACCCTTTTTCTTTTTTCAATGTATTCTGGATTTTTTTGGTAAACATATTCAATTTACATTACGCAGTTATTATAATAATAATAATAAATAACAACAATAATATAATAATAATAATAATAATAATAATCTGTGATAGTTTTTTGGGGTCATATCAGATTCAGGAATGTGTCTTTTGTACTGCAGAACACTGTTACCGTGACACACACACGCACACACAGGTAACAAAAACAGCAGTGTGCTAACTCTGAACACCTGATGGGACACCTTAAACAACTAGGTAATATAAGAGTTAATTATGTCATTTAACGATTATTCATTTACATCTAAGAAAAAGTTTAAAGGCTCTGAGAATCAGCGTCGACGACGATACTCGGTCGATGAAAGCGATAGATTTTCAATGCTTGTCACTCAGGTTTATATAACTGCGTCACGTCAACATGAAACCCCATTACCACTTGTCCGAGGCTGATGAAGTCGACCCAAGAGGAAATAACTCTCATACACCAGCCTCGTCCTCTGTACCGGACAAACAACACACTCCAACCGAGTTTTATTTTTTTTACTCTGAAAATGAAGAAAGTGGTTGTTTCCATAAGAGTGGAGAGTGAGCACCCCCTTACCTGTTCTCTGTGAGGCCCGGTAGCCCCGCCCACTGCTTCTGACGCCACACTCTTCGTCGCTCGATGAGTACTGGTTACCCGAAGAATTTGTCCCGCCTGATTGGTTGCTGCTCCGCCAATCAGAACGCGGACCTCGCCTACTACTACGATTAGCCCTGACCTTGCGCGGCCTTCAGGTTCCATTTCATCGGTGAACGGTCATCTGGAGGAGACACAAGAGTTAAGGCATTAGTAGGTGAGGGGCGCCCTGGTCAACACAGCGTCATCATACAGGAACTACCTGTCAACAACAACGACCATTATATCATCAACCTGAAACCATCGGCATGATCCACACACTAAGTTATTTATGTTCACCTGGGAGTTAAAAGTTATAGAGGTGAGGAGGGGGGATTGGGGATTGAGGGAGGGGGAGGGAGATGGGAGTTGAGGGAGTAATGAGGGAGAGGGATGAGATATCAACTTTCCCCAGCACGTCAATCTTTAACCACCTCACCTCTCACATCATCCACACTACCTCCAACAACCATCCTAACTATCTCCCCAATCCCAAAGCTTAACCAACTCTACCACCCACAGCCAACCCAACCACCCCTCCCCCCTCCCCTCCCCTCACCTTAGTATTGCCAGAACTCCATAACTGTCAATTCAATCCAATATGCATAAAACTTTTAAAGAACCAATTTCTACACAGGGAGCCTTGAATAGAGGGGAGGGAGGGAGGGAGAGGAGGGAAAGATAAGGAAGGGAGGGAGGGAGGAGAGAGGAGGGTGAGGGAGGTAAGGGAGAGAGGAGGGGGAGGGAAGTAAGGAGAGAGGAGGAGGGAGGGAGGGGGAGGTAAAGAAGAGAGAGGGGAAGTAAAGGAGAGAGGGAGGAAAGGGAGGGAGGGAGGTTACAAAAATATGAGTTATTGGAAGAAAACTTTTCTACGATGTGTGTGTGTGTGTGTGTTAAGAGTTCGACACGTCTAGTTTGTCTCTCACCCTGGAATAGCCTATTTTCCTAGTAAGGTTCTTTAATTAACTATATTAAGAAACAAACATATGTAAGAATGATAGACCACTCTAGTTATACTGTTATATAAACCAAATTATAGGAATACTGTTATACCCACATGTACAACTATACTTGATTATACTGGACTATATCAGTTATAGATATGCTATTATACCCACCTACTGTATGTATCAAAGATGAAGGAGAGAACTTAGTACTATAATCTGATATACACACACACACACACACACACACACACACACACACACACACGAGGAGTAATGCTAAGATATATGTTTGTATGTATAAAGGTATGACCATAGAGATAGATTGATATAAAGGTGAAAGGGTGGTGAGAGGGAGATATATGTGATGGTCCAGAAATTACCGCAAACCTATTTTTACCCCTCTTTACCCCCCCTTACCCCCCCTACATGCATCTCTTTCCCTCTCTCACCCCCTCTTCACTCCTACACCCTAATGGAAACTACACCCCCCATGTCTGATTCACGTGAAGTTCAGGATCAGGAGGTTCTGATTGGCTTACTATCTGATGGTACAGTTTATTTTCCTGAATTTCCGTAGTTTGACTCGGCACTTCCAATGCGGCTTTCGAAAACATAAATACATAAAAGGTGACACCATTTTGACCTTTTTCCCCACCTGACTCAACCGGTATATGCAGCATGACAGGGTGAAATTGATGACCCCTCCTCCCTCCATATCTCCCTCTCCCTCCATACCTCCTCTCCCCCCTCCCTCTCTCCCTCCCTCTCCTCCTCCATAACTCCCCTCCCCCTCCCTCTCCTCCATACCCCAGCCCAGATCGACCCCCAAATATCGTGGTGACCTCTGGTTATTACGTCAATAAAGCTGTTGTATAGCTACGGCATCATAAACACAGCAACAAGAGCATAGAGGCAGCTGCAGTAACTCTCCTGTCCACCCCCCACCCCAACACATCCCTCCCTCCATCCCCATCCACTACCCCTCCCTCCCCATCTCCTCCTCCCAACCCATTCAATACCACCCCCTTCCCACCCTTTTAAATCGATCGCCCTGAATTCAATGGTCAAGTTGATATCCTCACGTCATCAGCTGTTGCCAGGCTACCAACGACCCTCTTATATAACTAACCCAACTAATTATTCAATCTCTCGCTGCGATAAGTTGACCTTTTACCCAACAAACTCTTCATTAACCTGAAACTTAGGCGATAATCTACCTGGTTTACCACAAGTTCTATCAACAATTAAGTTAGGTTATTTCTCTGCCTTTCTCACTGGCCCGCCGGGTAATGAGATAACAAGTTAGTAATTTTGTTATGTATAAATACTAATAAAGTGATCCTTAGTTATTCTTAAAGACAAACGTATATATTCCAGTATACTCATTAGCCTGGTATATACAGTGTAAGTAAATCTCGTTATATTCTCAAAGCCACGCGTCATATACCAACATATTTACTGGTGTTATAGACGAAAAAATATATATTGATATACTTGAATTTATATGAGTCGAAATCGATATGTAAATTAGGTTCATCCTCTATCCTATCTCTTACCTGGGGGACTACTAGCCATGTATAACACCCCCCTCTCCTCTCTATCCTCCTACTATCCTGTACCCTCTCCACCCCCACCTAAACAACCACTCCTATCCTCCACCTCAAACACTAACCAAGAATGATCCCCCTTCTTCCATTCTCCTATCCCTTACCTCCCTCTCCACACACCCCCCTAAATCCTCCATCCCCTTACCCTACCCTACCCCCTCACCCTTCCCCTTCCCCCTCACCCTCCAAGCCGCAGCACTCACCATGAACGCTCGTGACTAAACCAAAACAATGAACGATATTCCCCTTCCCTCCCCGCCATATTCATGAAATCTACCATGACAACTCAGTCATGGATCACACACACACACACACACACACACACACACACACCCTCTCTCTCTCTCTCCTTTCCTTCCTTTCTGCCTCTTCCACCATCCCATTCTCCCTTTCCATCCGTCCCTCCTGCTATTCCCTCCCTCTCTTCCTCCCAGATTTTTCTACTTTACCTTCCTTTCCTCCCTTATCCTTCCCCCTATCTCTCGTATCCTCCTTCCTTCTCTCCTCCAACCCATCATGCCTCCCTCTCCCTCATTCTCTCGTGATACCATAACACCAAGACCAATGCATTGATCGTTTCCGCACAAGTACACCCCCCCCGCGCCCGCCAGGTGTACGTATGTGTGTGTGTGTGTGTGTGTGTGTGTGTGTGTGTACTCTCAGTCAACACCAGGGGCAGGCAGAGGTAAGCTTCGTGATCACTCAGTCACACTAAAAAGCTTGGCGAGGCGATGAGGTGAGTGGTGTGGTGTGGTTGGTGGTGTGGTGTGGTTTGTGGTGGTGTGGTTTGGTGTGGTTGTGGTGTGGTGTGGTTGTGGTGTGATGTGGTTGTGGTGTTGGTTGTGGTGTGGTGTGGTGTGGTTGTGGTGTGGTTGTGGTGTGGTTGTGTTGGTTGTGGTGTGGTGTGGTTGTGGTGTGTTGTGGTGTGTGGTTGTGGTGTGTGGTTGGTTGTGGTGTGGTTGTGGTGTGGTTGTGATGTGGTTTGTGGTGTGGTGTGGTTGTGATGTGGTTGTGGTGTGGTGTGGTTGTGGTGTGATGTGGTTGTGGTGTGGTTGTGGTGTGGTTGTGGTGTGGTTGTGTGTGTGTGGTTGTGTGTGGTTGTGGTGTTGTGGTGTGGTTGGGGTTGTGGTGTGGTTGTGATGTGGTTGTGGTGTGGTGTGTGGTTTGTGGTGTGGTTGTGGTGTGGTGTGGTTTGTGGTGTGGTTGTGGTGTGGTGTGGTTGTGGTGTGGTTGTGGTGTGGTTGTGATGTGGTTGTGGTGTGGTGTGGTTGTGGTGTGGTTGTGATGTGGTTGTGGTGTAGTTGTGATGTGGGTGTGGTGTGGTTGTGATGTGATTGTGGTTGGTTGTGATGTGGTTGTGGTGTGGTTGTGATGTGGTTGTGGTGTGGTTGTGATGTGGTTGTGATGTGCTGGTGCTTTAAACAGATAGACCCTCAACACACATGTACACCATTTAAACATACCTGTACGTACATAAAGCACAATCACACACTTTCACAAACACACGAACATACACATGCAAGAACAAACATCAACCAAAACACAGCAATCCATGATACACACACACACACACACACACACACACACACACACACACACACACACACACACACAGTAAAGAGAGAGGAGTAACAGCAAAACTCGACAAGGCCACTGATTACCACCACACAATATACACCGTACCAAAAGCTTCATAAATACCACCAGTGACACAGCGGAACCGTCGAGGAAAAAATAACAGTGATTAGAAATAGGAGAAAATATGTCTCTAGTTCACCTGAGAATAAATAGTGGATAGTCACGTCGTCAGCCACAACAAGGTGAGAGGTAAGGGAGAGTGAGGGAATTTAGGGGTTCATCAGAGCATTGAGAGTGAATACCTGTAATTAACGTACATAGGTATATAGTGTATAGGTGTGTGTGTGTATGTATGTAATAGTCTATACAGGTACATATATGCAATTAAATACACAGTTATATATCCCATCATGAAAAAATATGAATACTGTAAATGTTATTCAGTTATAATGTACACAGGTATACATGGAATACACAGGTATACATGGAATTAAGGATATGTATAATTTACGTATATACAGGAGGATATTTAAATACACACACAAGAATATACGTTGGTGATATAACCAGACACAGTATATACTAGATACTATGCTTTAGTCTATGTAACTACGTATATACTAGGATATATAACGTAATTTCCTACACATGAATATACGTTACAACGATATAATGCACCCAGGGGTATACGATATAGACCAAGAATGTATAATTACGTATACATACAGAGGAATATATATGTATTATAACTTAAAGAGATTATAAAGATATAAAATATACCTCAGAGGATAAATATACTCACCCAAGTATAATAGAGTGAAAAAAGAACATAGAGTTTTAATGAGAGAATTGAATAGTTTTAATGGAAAGAACTTAGTCAAGATACATAGAAATTTATATAATATTACATAGAATATTACGGTGCGTGAAGATATGCAATGAATGTCTATAATAACGTACATTTAGAGCGGGAACGAGTGTACTCATGTACTTAACAACCAGACTTATGGTAA